AGATCGATCTAGTTTCACCTTTACTTAGCCAGGTCGGTATGTGCTCACGTACTTTTACGTGGAGCACACTGGGTAAGGATAAATCCTATAGTTGCCTAAACCGAACACAGCAATGGAAACCGCCCATAGTACGCGTGTCTATGCGTCAAAGTTCGAGCAAATGAGGTTTAGGATTAAGAGAAGAGTAAGGTTTAAGGCTGGGTAGACAGCCAGGAGTATGTGCAGGGTTACGGTTTGGGTTAAAGTTGCATTACAATTTAATTCGATCGTAGAGCTAGTCTTAAGAGTAAGATTATGATTCAGCTTTATGGTAGAGTTAAGACACGGGAATGGGTAATCTGTCTGACATTTAAATTGGCGGAACGCGGTTATCCCCGTTTCCTGTTTAAATGGGCGGGCGAGTCATCTTTACCATAAAGTGACCGAAGGTACGAATTTTTCATGGTTTTGATCAACATTTAATATTATATTGTTTTTTATTCACATATTAATATGTAATAATATACCGAAAACAGTTACTCGGACATTTATATATGACACTTACAGTCTTGACTTGGTTGAACTGGAAGTTCTCTCCGAATCTTCACGGCAGGTCACATCTGCAATACATGTGTGAATGTTGCACATTGGAATTTTTGCGTCTTCCGCATCAAACCCTAGTGAGCAAATGGAAGAGAGCATTCTTTATAAGGCATAGATCTATGAGCTTGAATTTCAGAATAAATAACCCCACTGAAGGGGGTTTTGCACCGTTGACTGTTTCCCCGTTACACACAGGTTTGCCGCAAGAACGCTTGGAGTAGCAGAATCAGAGTTACAAATGAGGTTTAGAAATAGCACTAGTTCACCTACACTGCAGAATTTCATATTTCGTTGTTTTAGCTGATATAGTAAAGTACCAAGCAAAAACCGAAATATACTACAAGGAACTTTGCCTAAAGGCCGCTGATGTTCTAGGAATTCACAGCCTTTGATCTTATGCAAATAACTCTAATATTACGGCAGAGCAAGTTAAACGTACGTAAGGTCGAAAGAATTTCAAAGGCATGTAGCGTAACGAAGAATGTAAATGAAGCAGTTTTGTGCGCTCCAGTAGTTTGCCCATATTTAGTGCGTTAGAGCATAACGAAACAGGTTCAGTGGATGGGAACAAAGCAAAACAAGGGCTTTTTTATCTGCACAACTTGAGGAAAGAGATAATCAATAAGGCATCGCAATTTGCCTCTAGGGAATAAGGGATTCCAAAAGCATAGTGACTGTTTCCTACAAATACTGCAACTTCCTGTGCCTGAACTACCCGTTTTTGCTAATGTCTCTGATGAAGGACCCACGATGGATTTCAAAACGTCATGCGAACAGGACTCTTCTCCCAACGATCACTTTTACTACTTTCCATCTTCGCTTGTGTTATGCGATTTGACCCCACAGTTCTACAGCTTAACTCTTCCGACGGAAGGAGGAAAAAAGTTGCATAAATGGTGCCAAACTTCTGTCTCCAACTGATAAAGATCAAGGTTGAATAGCTCTGGTGCAGGCAATTGGAAGATACAAATGCTTAGCAAAAGGAAAAAGGAATTAAGGAAGATTTTATTCGAGTACATCAAGTTTTACTTGTGAATTTTCAAACTGATGACACCAAATCGTCGTCAAGCACAACAAAACGAAGTGAGAATGTAGGAAAGTTACACAAGACGGTTTAAAACGACATGAAAGTTAGACCACTGACGTGTGAGGGCTACGCCACGGTTTGTTTATGAGCAGAGTGTGAGCGGAAGAACGGTTTGTGTGTGCATATTTAGTTTTCCCAAGCAAGTAAAAAACCCACCAGTTCATGGTGAACTTATGTGTTTGAAAGTAAAGATGTCGTATGAATGCATCGCATCTGCTTTTTGCCTGGTATTTATTTTAATCTTCAATTACATGCCCTCATTTCGGGTGGTTGTTTTTAAAAAAAATGTATTGAAAAGCAAACGCATCGAACCCTATATTCTAGTTTGTGAGTGAAAGGTAGAGATCTTGGTTCTTCCGACTTCCAGTAATATGGAAAAAATATGTATTATAATTTATCTCATAGTACGTTCTTTGGGCTATATTGTGCCTATATGCATTGATAACACCCAAAACGTACACACTTTAAACAAGGAGGTATTCATGATCCTGTTATCCGGTCATTGACAACCGAAGGGGTCTACCTGGGTTTCAGTAAGCCAACGTAAAAGAGGTAGCGTTGTGATAAACTTCAGGAGGAGTAAACATTCCTGCACCCTTACATTAAAAATTAGCCTGAAATAAAAAAATTGTAACCTTAGTCTTAATCCTGGCCGCATCCTTAACCTAAACCCTAAAGCTATCAGGAACCAAAACACTAATATTCAATACAATCCTGAGCCTAACCCCCCAACTCTAATGTTAACCTCAGTTTTAAACCTAGCCCTAAACCCAATCCTAACTGTCACCTTAATCGTGAATTGCGTTTTCACGGAATTCGGCACAGAATCACATGCATCGGGAGAGATCCCTTTTCTCGTGTTCCACTTAGGCGGCCACACGATTCATCCTTATCCAGCTTCCTAGATATGCAAAGAACATATCACGTGGCATGATCACCGCGGCGTAAATAGAACTGACGGCGATGATGATATTGGGGCTGATAAGAAGGCAATTAAGCATGAAACCGGCAGAAGAGTTTTTTAATGTCCAGGTGCTATATAACGTAGGTGAAGCAATTAAATATATTTGTCTGGCTGCCAGAAGTATATGTCCCGACAGCTGATGGGTAATTTGCCCACCCGTAGAAGTGTTTGTTAGCATTTAATGATTTTGAAAGTGATTTTGTGGATTTAATTTTTTAGGTAGTTCGCCATAGATAACTAAGTAGAGACGCAGATGCGTCTGGATGGATTCGTTTCGGTATGGCTGAACCGAAGACTGGACTTCGAACAGGAGCCGCGTTAGTTGCTACCAACAACAGACATTAGGCGATTTACGACGGATTGCTTGTGCAATCCTCAGCCCGATCCCATATTCTGGACAGCGCAGATACATGTTCAACTTTTAAATAATTGTACAAAATTACACTTTTAACAGTTAATTAATTAGTCAATGGGTAGCAGGACGGGATCAGTGGCCATCATATATATGGAGAAACAAAATAATTTACGGAATGAAGTTATTTTTCGACTGACTGCAAGGATATCATTAAGTAGGCTCAGTAGATATAAAGGTCGGGTTATGAGAATGAGTGTACAGGTCATACAATGAAAGCTCCGCAGGGGAAATACCTCAAGGTTGCAGACATGTGAATGAAAAATGCAATGAACTCTCAATTCTGTTACCGTTGCTTCACTAATCACGACTGCGCTGTGTAATTTATAAATATATATAATAGAATCTCGAAAGACCACTTGCCCAACTGTCTTCCACCCTAAAAGCCAAACTTTATTCGGTCCAATATTCGATTACTGGTATGGTCACTGGTCAAAAAGATTGCTATAAGGATTAGACGGTAAACGACGTATTTTCGTTTTCGGAAGAAGATGATAAGGTAACCTAATAGGCGTTTTTGTAACTAAGACTAAGACGTAAGACGTAAGACGTATAAGCTGTGTAGATCGTTCGCAGTACTCAAGTCGAACCGCTGAGTTTTATTGTCTGGGATCCGACCAGGGCTATTAAAAATCTTTTAAAGGCATCTTTTAAATCACCCAAAAAGATCAAAATGGAAAGCATACGGCGTGCATCAAATGAGAAGCCATCATAATAACTTGCCGATATTTTGTCCGATCGAATACAACCGAGTCCTCTC